ACGCGGTGTCATGAGTTTTAATGGACTGTGTGATAAGTCGAGAGTTGAATCCATTTCAGAACATGACTAATTTTTTTAAGATGACGAAACCCAATGGAGGAAGAACATTATTTGCTGACTGTCAGTGACTATTGATTTATCGATTCACATTTATGCTCCATGTCTGGAGGCGGTCTCCTACGATCATGCAGGATTTGAGGTTTCCACAGCGGTGGGTCAGAAGATGGTTGTCTTCTGGGTTATTGCAACTTCTACCAGACTACACAGCGCAAAAACCCAGAAGAAAGCCATCTTCCTACAATCATGCAGCATGCCATGATGAGAAGGGCCCACTTAAGTTAAAGTTTCCTAATGTGCTTGGAAATGTTTGCATCATAAATTAATATATTTATTTTAGACCAGCTAACAATAAATAACATTTTAATATTAAGAACTCCTTGTCTCATTGTATTTACTTCCTGTTGACATACCAGTAGTGCCAGTGTTTTTGTTATGATTTAACAGTTACGTCTTCACTGTTTAGCAGTTTATCAAAGCTAATTATTACCCTGTTTGCGGCAAGGGTTACTCACTGCTCTTGATAAAGCCGATGATTGGCAACAGCAGTTTATTCCTTTTCTTGGAGCATCCAGGTTGCTTAGCTCCTCCATTCGGGTAGAAGTCCACATGACCTGCAAAACAGAACAGCCGTGATCCATTATGTATCCTTGACGCAAAATATCTGCAAACTTAAGCTATGTCACAGTAAGACAACAGAGAGAGAAGGGCAAGGGGGAAGCAAGATACCACATGTGCCATTACCTCCCCTCGCCCCCCATATCTTGGCTGGCTATCCACCAACATGTGTATGCATAACAGTCAAAGAAACTTTAGTTTCTTAGAAAAGTATAAATCCAATAGTAATGACATAGGATTGGACTATATGAACACAGGTTTCATAATGTAAGCCATTTCACGATGGTGCAGCTGCTATAAACGTGTGTACACACATTAACGTTTTACTCCGCAACTGATATGTTCCCTCTCGCCGAGTTGAAATAAGAAAAACAAATCATTTTATTTTATGATATGGTTTATTGTCTTTATGTTATGTATTATTGTACAGTGTTGAAAAATGAGAAGTCAGTCCCTGAATTTTGTGATCCACCCTTTTGCACAACTAATAAAGGTTATTATTTGTATGAATAGGAACTTTGAAGCCACGTAACATATTTATTACAAATAAGAAAATGTCTTGAGTTCATAGCGGGATCCATCCAGGCATATTCTCGCTCATCAAAGTCTGTCACACACCATGAATGATAATGGCTCTAGTTGACTTTTTCCTGCACAGAGCTGTGCAGCGCATACAATAAGATATACATATATATATATAATAAAAGACATGTGGAATTTGTTGATTCTAGCCACTTAAATGGGGCCCGTTAACTAACTCCATGACGCACTGCCCTTCTTCGGGACTGCCTTAAATGTAATTTGAATGTTCATTACCATATTCACAACAGCCTGTCATTGGTCACTACGTATCTTGAGCAAAAATGAATGTAGTCCATACCTTACGATCTGATTCCTGAATGATTCATTTCTGTAATCTGCTCTTATCGATACTTAGATGGCGTTGATGTGCGTGCAGTTTAATTGGTGAACCACATAAAGAGTTCTGAGTTGAATGTGTGGAGTGACATTGGGATAAGGAGGGGAGGGGGGGGGGGGGGGGTGAGGAATATAATTGAAGTAATATGAGATTATAAAAATGAGTGAAAGTGACATATATTAACAATGTCTCTTCATTTCTATGACAAGCTCTGTTTTGCAAACTTACTGGTAAATGAGATGATCCGGGATAGCTCAGTCAGTATAGTGACTAGCTACGGGCTGGACGACCGGGGTTCGATCCCCGACGGGGGGGGGCAGAGGATTTTTTCCTCTGCGTCCAGACCGGCTCTGGGGCCCCCCCAACAGCCTCTACAATGGGTACCGGGGTCCTTTCCCGAGGGTAAAGCCGGCCGGGGCGTGATGCCGACCACTCTAGTGCCGAGGTCAAGAAAGAGAGGAGCTATACCTCCACTCCCCCCAAGCGCCTTTACGTCACGTAAATGAGACTTGAGATTCCCACAAGGAGATGAAATGTCCAATTTAAGCCTTGGAACAAGTCATAAGGTCCAAAAACTTGTTTGGAAGAATAAAGAAGTATTGATATGTGCATTATTAAGTGTTTATATCAAACAGTGATCATATATTTTTATTTGCATACACCTCAGGATGAAAATTTGGAATGTTAGGCAAATAATGACCTTAAGCTAAACACTTTTTGTTTTGGCTGAAACAATTCATGTAATTGTCAGAACATGTTCACTGCGTATCATAAAATACGAACATTTACAGATTATTACAGCTGTTTTATGCCCAAGAGCTGGATATAACTCACCTATGGGCTCTGGCAGTCCTAGTCCCACCTTCACGAGTCCCCTGCCATTTGTGTGGATGACGTCAATGAACTCTGCGTCGCTTGGGTCTAGCCTTATATCAGGACTGTCGGCTTGGAAGCACGGCTGTGCAGGGTCCAGTCCTAATACGTAATTTCAATTAAAGCATCTTCTCATAAAACATAAATTCATGTACAGCTTCCATAAATGAAAAACAGACATGTTCCTTCTGGGGTCTGAACTTTAATAAATAACTCCAGAGAACTTAAATTTGAAAACACATTCGTTTGTCCAGGATCTGAGCTTTTCACACTGCACTGTCTTCTGAGTATCTTACCATATTGAAATGGTAATAACTGCAGCACCTTCATGCCACATCTATCTTTAACCCCAAAGAAGGTAGCAGCAAGTTCCTCCAAAACATGAATACGTAATTTTGCCACTTCAACTCATTGCAACTACAATGATTATGCATGTACCATTGTCAATAAAAGTTTTATTCTCCATCTACTTTCCTTATTTTTCGTAATTTTTTTGACGTAAATGCGTCTATACGGAAGGGTCATTCGGCAAAAACAGCGTTAGTTACGAAGACGTGTAAGATCCAGCGCCGAGTCACCTTTATATGTTCATTCCTCAGAAATGGTAAGAGTAAGGGTAATGTAACCTATATGTAAAATGATCAGTAAATAAGGGGCTTTAAGAATCTGTAATGTATTTTATTGTAATTATAATTGTTTATACATTTATTGTAATTTTAATGAACCAATGCGTACAATTTTCAGTGCATCTGGCGCGTTACGCACCCGCCTCTCGAAAACCATAAGAGATGGATCTGGACATATTGCGTACGAAATATGTATTACCTCTTGAGCTTTCCATATCTGTTTTCAGATTTTACATATCACAAATGGTTTAGGTTCTACAAACATTTATTTATACAAACAAAGGCGCATCGCACTTAACGCTACTTCTGCGCTTGCGTATTTACGTCAGATTCTCCGGAATCGTGGTTCCACTGTCAATTTTTATACTGGTTTGGATTTAGTGAGTATTATTTGATGTTCAGTTATGCCACTCTAAGAATCAGTTGAAAGAATACATGTAGGGAGACATTTTGTCCTTCTGTCATCATAAGCTGGACGCTGTTTAGGATTTGAGGTTTTCACGGCGGTCACTTTGAAGATTGCTGTCTTCTGGGTTGTTGCACTCCGGTAGAATTTTACCGACATTTCAGAGGTCCTTGCTGCCTCCATCATCAGCGCGATGATGGAGGCAGCAAGGACCTATGAAATGTCAGTAAATTTCTACCAGACTGCACAGCACAACAACCCAGAAGACAGCCATCTTCAGGAACTGGAAGCCGTAATTGGTAACATAATTGAAACCATCTTCTAACCTGTGATCCTGGCAACTCCACCAAGATGTGAAGCGATGTAGGAGCAGATGTGGGCCCCCAGACTGTGGCCTATTAGGTGGATACTCCTACTTTTCAAACCTGCTTCCATCATATTTGTTATTAGTCTGAAATTAGGATACAGAATTAAGATCGATGTTGAGAATGAGGTTATAAGAAATAAATGTAGTATGTACATCCTAACTGGATCCAATCATTTATCTGATTTAACTGTAAATTGTTGTATTGATTCATTTTTTTAGCATTTTATTAATTTCGTATAATCTTTATGAATTTTATGGAATTTTATAGTTTGAAGATTTTGTAAGTTTAACTTTGCATTGTTGAGAAAATTCACTTTGAGAACGATGTAAATTGAAGATGCTTGTTTAATTGAGTTGAATTAGTGGTTGATGATTAGCAAAACTTGACTGACCACGTGTTGACTGATTTTGAGGTTAGAACAGTGATTATTACCCAGTCACTATTATAGATTATTAAAAGATATTTAGATTTAGAACTGGATCATGATACATGAATGGCTTAATTTATTACTATTCTGGGCAGTGTAAGTCAGTTTTTGGTCATTTTGAGGTGGACCATAATTCAGACATTAGGAGCGATTAAACACATTCATGTGGGAGGTCATAAAGTTGGATTCTGAACATTAAGGTCAACAGATTAAATTCCTATGACCACTCACTGGACAACCCTTCAGTAATCAATCGCCTTCATATTTAAGTTTCGTGCTGGGGTATAGCTTTTATATATTTTGATCTTTTCCATAGACGAAATAAAAGATTTGCGTCACGTCTCTTGAGTTTTAATTTTATAAAGTGTGCCATTTTGTAGAGTTACTCACTTGGTGACCTCTGCTCCGGTGACCCTGGTATTTGCCACTGCTCGCCAGTACATCCAATTACCACCCCCACCACTCCAGTCGACTGCTATCACGTTGGCATCCACCTGTATTCGGCAGAGTACGACAATGTAATATTTGCAGTATTTGTAGAGAATTCACAGTTGTATCAAAATAAGTAGAAGAATTCTAAACCTTTGGAAAAGGCAGGCAGTCTCTAAACTAAGAAGGGTTCTTTACTGTAAAATCTATACATGAAATTTGTCAAGAAGTTTCATTAAACATTTTAAAATTTAGTATGAATTTTCCTAGAGCGATGTACTCCAATAAAGTACACACTTTCCAGACACTGACTGTACTATACGTAACACATTGCCCGTTATGTTCATTTGTTTCGGATATATTTCACATGCATTTTTCTGTGTGTTTTGATAAGTGTTCAACATTTTAGAATTTTTTCAAATTGAAGTTACGCATCTTCCTGAGATCTGTACTTTATATAATTTATGAATTTGTTTGATAATAGACATTAGATATGAACTTCGCATAACGAAGTGAAACTTTGTCTATACACCAGTACCATATTTCATCAGAATCCAGTGAGTACTTTTGAAAGTGAAACGTACTGACAGATAGGCAAACCTAACCTGCCAGTTTGTGGAAAGGACATAAAGAATATAAAAGTAAATGTTAGTTTTAAAGTAAAATCTCACTCCTAATTGTACAGTGCAGCCTAAATTCATACGTTACAACGAAATTGTATTATTTCGCACGCACAGTTTCACCATAACCTGGCCATGGCTGGTACAAGTCTAAAATGCTGTTCCAATTGATGAGAAATTTTAACTCCTGTTTCCCTCGGATAAATAATGACGAACTTAAAAATCTGTACTCCTCCCCCAGTATTGTCAGGGTGATTAATCGAGGAGAATTAGATGGGCGGGGCATGTACGCGCATGGATGGGACAAGAGTGTGCACCGGGTATTGGTTGGGAAGCCTGAGGAGAAGAGACCGCTGGGGAGACCTGGACGTAGATGGGAGGATAATCTCAGGCGGGATCTTTGGGAGATAGGAGTTGAAGGAGACTGGATTTTGTTGGCCCAGGACAGGGTCCGGTGGAAGGCTTTGGTTAATTCGATGATGCACCTTCGAGTTCCGTAAGCCATCTAGTTAGTTAGTTTCCCTCGGATAAAAACATTATTTTTTTAACTGTCCTGCTACATGCCATGTAGGCACTCAGGTGGAGAGAAAGTATAGCTCCTACTCATTCTCTGCCTCAACACTAGGTAGGGGTGAGTGGTCAACGTCACATCTTGGCAGCACTTTACCCCCGGGGAAAGGACCCCCGGTACCCATGGGAGAGGAGGCTGGGTGGGCCCCAGAGCCAATCTGTATGCAGAGGCTAGAAGAAAATTCTTCTGCCCCTGTCAGGGATCAAACCCCGATCATCCAGTCACTATACTGACTGAGCTAATCAAGATTTTCAATACTTCATCAACATCAGTAACACAGTATTTTCATGCACTGTAACGAAAATCATCATTGGTGCTTACGACAACAGTAAAAAAACTAATAAAATATTGTGTTATCTAATCATAGAATTCATGATCTTGTAATGGTGGAAGTAGAAGACAATCCCAGTACTGTAGTTCACGAACAAAAGAGCAGCAAAAATTAATTTCCATTTAACAAAAAATAAATAAAATAAAATATGCTGCCCTAAATGTCTATTCGGTTTGCTTGTGTTGTTACACCAGTAGACAAATGTTAAATAAAAATTGTACACTTGTGCTATGTTGTTTTATGTTCTACAGAACGAGAACAAAATTTGTATAATTTGTGAATATCTGACACAGAAAATTAATTGGGCTCAGTCTTATATTGATAGCGTCTAAGAAGAGATAGTGTATTTTTTTCTGTAAATCTTTTTCTAAACAATTTATGACATCTTAAAATTAAGGGAAGATGGTATTATAATGAAATAGGAAAGAATTTTAAGTATTGTGACAGATCTAATGATAAGGCACTGATTTGAACTGGGGCTATTAAAAGTCCTTTTTGCAGTAGATGGTTGAACAAAGAGAAAAAACATGATTTAATTGTAAGACGTCTATGAACAGAGCCTTTGTCTTTTAATAAGAATCCAGGTGATGTCTGACTCGCAGTTCCCGGTTGAAAGACGTAAGTATGAATCATGATATGAGGTCATTCTCGTTATTTAATTATACAGGGTGAGCCAAAAGTATGTTTACAAACTTTGTGTTCGTCTTCCTGGATCAAAAATAAGAAAAAATGTTCTTATGAACATGTGGTCGCAAATGTTTCGTTTTCAAAATGATAGCCAAAAATAAGTTTCAATGAATGACTTTATTGCCAAGTACGAATAAGGACAGGGATGTTTCTTTACAACAGATGCTCAAATGTTGGTCCTCCATTCTCACACATGCCTGAGCACAACGTACACAAGACTGACGTATTCGTTTGTACACACCAGGGTTTCCTCGAATCATCTGGCATGCATTCTGCACGTTCCCATAGGTCGTCTTCATTGTTTGTGGGTGTTGCATAAACGACG